AAGTCTGGTTCTAATTATTGGGTACCTGGAAAGCAATCAACTGCACTTTTGGAATAGAATCTTATAATTCAGACAGACATGGTTCCTCAGACATTTCCTGTAATTAGAGTGGGATAGTAATGTGGGGTTATAATTTGTTTTTATATAAAAAGGTTTATCTTTCTCTTCATAAGGTGGATTACAATGAATTATTAGATAATCTATGCTTAGATCTGAGAGCTCTTTGGAGATCATTATTTAAATATGAGAGCTTTTTTTAAAAAACAAGATTTCCTTTTTGGGTTACCTTGGATCTTAAGGAGTCCTAGTAATTCAGTGGTTAAAGCACTTAACTAACCAAGAGATTGGTGGTTCGAACCCACCAGTTGCTCCATGGGACTGAGTGGTGGCAGTCTGTTTCCTTAAAGACAGCAGCCTGGGAAACCATGTGAGCCAGTTCCAGTTTGCACTGCGGAGTTGCTATGAGTTGTTGTTTGACTGCGTTTGGATCTTAAATAATTAAAAAAAAACAGTTTTAATGGTACATGATACACATATTATTAATTCAAGAGTGCAAACGTATCAAGAAGAGTTGTACAATCATCACCACAATCAATTTCAGAACATTTTCTCCCTTCCTTCTTGTACTTGTTATCAGCTCCCTATTTCCCCCTGACCTCCCCTACCATACCCACAAGGAACCCCTGATCTAGTTTTACTGTCTGTAGATTCACCCATCCCAGATTTCATATACCCCAAATCGTACAAAGACAAGAAACAAAGAACTAACCACAATAACAAAATAAAACAGAGTAAAACTTCAATAGAAAAGAAAGCAGAACATATTAAAAATTAGAACAACTGTAAAATGGGCCAAAAGGGAGATCAAAAGAATAAAAATGTTTAAGAGGATATACATATAATTATGGCTTAAGATATTAGACTTTTCCACCATAAAATGAGACACCATATTCAAATGAGAGCAAGGCAATGTTCAGTTCACACAGTCTATTCAAGGCCTCCTAGTTAATCTCCAAGAGTTTTTCTAGCAAGAACACTGCTGGAGAGGGATGGACGGAGAGCCCATGCCAGGCACCCTACGGTGTGCAGAAAACAGCAACGGAGTCTGCACCAGACAGGCTGGTGCTGCCAAGGAGGTCCAGGGCTGGCCCTTGACTGGCAGGTGGATAGGACCATAGGCAGGGTACTTCTAAGTCTGTGCTGGGTGCAAAGCCTCCACCCAACCCTGAATTGGGCATGTGCCAACTGGGTGACGTTGCCAACGTCAGGGTGCTTCCTTCCCTTAAGGTTGTGCTGTGATTGTGTGTGGAGTGCTCTTACGCAGTCAGGGCTCCGTTCACTTGTTCATCGTTGACGTGCCCAGAGCTGCGGGGAGGTTGAGATGAGGCTGGAGCAGTGAGTAAGAAAGATGGGGACCCTGTCCTCATGGGGCAACCATGAATAAGCCACCAAATCCAGATCCAACACATGAGAAGGAAGCCCAGAGGGAAGGCCAGTAGAACGCGCCTGTGTCCTGGGCAGAGGTCATTAGCTTGGGTGGGCCCACGTGGCCTCGGAGGTGACTTTTTTGGCTGAGACCCTCGTGACCAGCAGTATGGGCCAACTCCGCTATCATCAAACGGTCCTTTGTGTAGGTTAATGGCCCCACATTCTTAGTGGAAAATCGCTGCCCATCAATGAAGAAGCCTGTTTAGTAGGGCGCTTCTGGGAGGTCGTGAGACGCTCTCCCCCAGAATAGGACTGGACACTTAGGGGTCATTGTCAGTGTCTTTGCTCCGCGCTCCCTCCAGCCTCCTGGGGACACCACCCAGAGCCGCCCGTCCGTGGCCGTGGCCCCCGTGGCTCCTGCCTGTGGCTCACCCACCTTGTTATTTCTCAGCTCCTGGAAAAGCCTTCCTCGGTTGGCCCCGCGGCACAGGAAGTACAGGACAGGGTTGACGCAGCTGTTGGCGCTCACCAGGGGCCTCCACAGCTTGTAGGCCAGGCTGGCGCCCATCAGGAGCCGGCAGTCCTGCGAGGGCAGGAACCGCACCACCAGGTAGATGGAGCGAGCCACGTGGAAGGGCACGAAGCAGAGTGTGAAGAGGGTGCACACCAGCAAGATGGTGCGGACCGACTTGGCCCGGGCCCCGCTGCCCGTCCTCGCCAGGCCCTCCTGGGGCTTGCTGAGGCTCCTGACCATCCTCCAGTAGCAGAGCAGGATGACCACGGAGGGAAGGACGAAACCGGACACCGTCAGCACCATCCCATACACAAAAAAGCTATCGAAGAGAGCCGGGCTGGTCATGTCGTAGCAGACCATCTGGCCGTCCACGTAGTCCGTGTGGGAGAAGGCCAGGGTGGGCAGCAGCTGCACGACCACCAGCGCCCACGTGGTGGCCGCGCCCAGCAGGGCGAGCTGCCGGGTCCGGTAGGGCAGTGAGCGCAGCGGGTGGCACACTCCCAGGAAGCGGTGCACCGAGATGCAGGTCAGTAGCAGGATGCTGCCGTAGAGGTTGGTGTAGAACAGGAAGCGCACCAGCCGGCAGAGCAGGTCCCCGAAGGGCCACCAGTCACCCAGGGAGTAGGCGACAATGAGGAAGGGCAGGGTGAAGACATAGAGCAGGTCGGCCACCATCAGGTTCACCAGGTAGATGGTGGCACAGCTCCAGCGCTTGCTTTGGCGCCAAGAGAGCCACAAGACAGCGCCGTTCAGGGGGAGCGCCAGCAGGAAGATGACGCTGTAGGTCAGAGGGAGATAGATCTGCTTGTAGTCCTCGGAGAAGCAGAGGCCGTCCTCCTGGGAGGTGTTCATCTCCAGGCTCGCCCTCCCCCTCTCTGGAGGCTCCCTCCAGGAGCACAGCTCTTCCTGGGAGGAAACGAAACAGACAGACCGCCATGAGATCTTAGGGTGCTGGCCTTCCACAGGGTGCCTCTGTGCCCTGAGTCTGGCCAGCCGCCAGGTTTGAGAGAGAGCTCCAGGAAAAGAGAGGTACATTCAGGAGCACTGCAGATTAAAAAAAATTTTTTGACTCTTAGAACTCTTGTCACAAATCCATGCATAGATTGCATCAGGCAATTTGCACATATGTTGCCTTCATTCTTTTCTAGACA